CGGGCGCAGCCCTGGGGTCCTCCGCACCCCGCCGGAGCGCCCGGGCGCCCTGAGGTGGAGGTCAGTGAGGGAGGCCTGTGGCTCGAGGCCGGCGGAGGTGGCGCAGGTAAGTACAAGCTGGTCTCAAGCGAGTTCACAAACACGACCCACCCTGCGCGCCGCCGCCGGGCCCGCGCTCGCCCTCCCGGGCCATCACGCAGGTTGGGCCGGATTGTGAAGGCCGCGGCCTCCCAGGCCGCCTAGAAGGGGCTTCGGCCCAGCCACAGGAACCTCCGGGGCGGCCCAGGACAGGGAGTGGGGGAGCAGGACCCACTTCTTGCCCCTAGCCGGGTGGGGCCCGAGGACCCCGCAGCGAGGCTCAGGCCAGGCGCGTCCCCGGGACTGCGGGCTCCTTAGCTGAACACAAGGGTAGGTGGAGGTCAGACCGCCGCCCGCAGCCACGCAGCACGGGGCGGCCGCTGGCGCCCAGCCCGCCACGAGCCCCGCTAGCCTCCCAGTGCACCCCGCCGCCCCCCTCGTAAGAAAGTTATAATTTAGCACTCGAAGAGTGGAAGGTAGGTAACAGACTGGGAGATTTCTGGAAGGCGCCTTTCTTTCTTTTATTATGATTTTCCCCATCATCACCGCCATCGCCCTCTTGTTTTCTTATGGTTTTGGTTTGGTTTTGGTTTGTTTTCCTCCCCACTTCTCAGCAAGTCCATCCCTCTGGCACATTTCCCCCCCACACTTGGTTTTCCACTCCTGCTTGGTTCTCCCCAACTTGCTCCTCCCACCCCCGCACTTTTGGTTGGGGTGGCTGGTCAAGAAATAGGGGTGCCCCCCACCCCATGTATAGTTTATGAGGGGGATCTCCAGTAGCACAGCGTCTGAATGGCAGTGCTGGAGCCGGCCCCCAGGGCTTGGAGGAAAGGGTCAGCTAGCCAGCCTCCTAAATGCCTTGCCTGGAGGCGAGGCCGGGAGCATCCCAGCCCCCACTAAGGAGCGGGGCACGGGGCACGGCACCCTAAAGCTGTGGCTGCAGACACTCCCACCATCACATCCGGGCGGGCAGCTTGCTGAGGGGGGGACACCCGCTGTCACCCTGGGAGGAGGTAGAACCCATTCTAGCCAGCGCTGACAGCCAGACAGATGGGCGTTGTGTCACCTGATGTGGGGACCGGCAGCACCCATAGGTGCCAGCTGGTAGAGCTCCGTGAGAAAGTGCGTGCAAAGCCCGCCACGGAGGCTGGGCCCCTGAAGCAGTCCACGCACGGGTGCGGGTGCCGAGCGTGTGCGCAGCTCGCAGACAGCGCCACCGCAGCCCCCTCGGGACAGGAGGCACAGGCCTCAGCTGTGCTCCACACGTGCAAACAGTCAGACATGCAGCTGCCTCACGTGGGAACGAGCCAGGTGAGGTGACGGCAGCTCTTCACATGCTGCCTGGCTCATGGCTGGCGCCCCGTAGTGTTCACTGCAGTCTAAACATGGGTCGGATGCGTACGGTTGACACTCAATGGCAACCCTCATTGCTGGGACCAGGTGCACTGTAGGCACACGGGTGTGGGGTTCTGGGGCTCTGGGGACCCCTCCCCCACCCTGCACACTTCCTGCTGTTTGGTAACTGCTCGGGCAGCGGCCCTTGCGCTTGGCATGCAGCCGGCACTCAGATGGGCACTGTGATCCGCGGCAAAGCAGGCCCAGCGCGGAGGCCCAGGGCTCTGCTCCCAACAAGCAGCTGCTGTCTGCAGCGCCCTTGGCAGTATGCAGGCGCTCAGAAAGAATTTCATTTTAGGTACACTCCTGCATACTAGGTAGCTAGCTCCTGAGGACTAGGACTCTGATAAAGCCCCAGGCACACAGTAGATGCTTAGCATGAGGACTAGGCCCATCGCCTAGTGCCCGGCACACAGTAGGTGCTTAGCTTTGCCACTAAACTCATAAAGTCTGTCATCATGTCTGGCACTTAGTAGGTGGTGTTTGTATTAAAGCACACAGAACAATATGACACACAGTAGGTGCTATCTATGGTGACTGTGAACACTTCCACCACTCTGTGGTGCTTAGTGTATGGGGTTATGACTCAAAGCACAGCAATTGCTTAGTGACAGAATTAGGACTGATAAAGCTTACCACATTGTGTGTCATACCGTAGGCTTTCAGATTATGGGGCCCAACAGAGCACGTAGTAGGTGCTTAGTGTACAGGGCCTCGACTTCGATAAAGCTCCTTCGTGGTACCTTGTAATGCCATCAGTGCTGCCATCAGTGGTGGCGGCTGTCTGTATTACTGAGCTCAGTAAACCGCAGCTTTCATTAGTATCCTCTCAAGCACGAGGCATGCTGACTGGCACACAGTAGGTCTTATGCTATTTTATCAACACTCCCCTTGGCATGAGGGCTGATGCATAGTAGGTGCTGGATGGCACTTTGCAATTCCCCCAGCAGGGTGCATGACACATAGTATTCAGTAAGCATATGTGTACTGTTGACAAAAGCTTGCACATACTAAGTACCCAGTAGACAGGGCTTGGATTGCAGTTTATCTTCGCATAGTACTAGCACACAGTAGGTATTCAATAAAGGTGCTTTCATGCCTTACTCTAAGCAGTCTCTGGCACTGCAGAAGGTCTTTACTAAAAGGAGCTGACATTCTCCTTTGGTCATGCCTGATGCACTGACTATTGTGCAAGTGCTTTGACTAGCCTTTGACAAGTGTCTAGCACATAGTAGGTGCCCAGGACACCAGGCTTGTGCTTTCTGCCTAGGGTGGTAGCTGCCACATCTTGAAATATACAGGTGCTATGGCAGCAGAGGCTTGGCGCACAGTAGGTGCCCAAAAGATACCCCGTGAAGGCCTTAGCATGCACTGTGCCGACAACGCACAGGACACGGCCCGTGCCTCCTGGTGACCGCGGCCACCCTGTACCTAAGCCCTACTGTGTGCCGGGCCTGCAGGCCCACCCAGGGGAAGGCAGGGAGGGAGCGAGTGAGGAAGCAAGTGAGCGTTCTTGGCCAGCCTTCCCCACCCACCCCTCTGCCCCTCCACCTGCGCATCTCACCTTTGGTTGACGCCCGCTTCTTTTGGGTTCGACTTCTCTTTGGTTTGCTTCTGTTTTGTTTGTTATCATCTTCTTTTTTATTTTCTCTTTCCCATCTTTTGTTTCCCCACCCTTCCCCGCCCATCCCACCTCCCTCCCCCACGTTCTCCCCCTCCAATAGAACCGTCCGCCCCCCCTCAAGACGTAAAATGTACCAGCATGCGCTCCACGGCCATTTTGGTAAGTTGGCGCCCGCCGCCGCCAGAAACACACAACGGGGCCCTGGTGGGCTACAGCGTCCGCTACCGACCGCTGGGCTCCGAGGACCCGGAATCCAAGGAGGTGAACGGCATCCCCCCGACCACCACTCAGATCCTGCTCGAAGCGCTGGAAAAGTGGACCGAGTACCGGATCACGACTGTGGCGCACACGGAGGTCGGAGCAGGGCCCGAGAGCTCGCCCGTGGTCGTCCGCACCGACGAGGACGGTAAGCCCGCGCCCGCTGTCCGTCTGCGCTGCCCTGGACGGCCGCCTGGCACCAGGAAGGCGGGGCCACTGCTTGACCTTAGCCTTGACCTCGACGCCTAGGCCGTGACCTTATTGCCTAGGCCTTGACCTCGGCACCTAGGCCTTGACCTCGGCTGCTAGGCCCTGACCTGGCCCTTGGTCTCGGCGCCTGGGCCTTGACCTCGGCTGCTAGGCCCTGACGTGGCCCTTGGCCTCGGCGCCTGGGTCTTGACCTGGGTGCCGGCAGTCTGTTTTGGCCCAAGGGCGGGAACCGCGGGCACGGGGTGAGGTCCAGCCGTGGCAGGGGCAGCGCTCGGCCCTCGGGTCCCCGGCTGCGGGCCGGAGCCATCCTAGCGGCCTTGGGGCCCGCGAGTGGGGTGAGCGGGCGGCCTCCACCCGGAG